GGTGAGATTCACTGCAGTCTGACCTTTCCACACTCACAGCTGAAGTCGGCCAGCATTTGCGCCACTTGGCTAATGTCTGGTGTTATTAGAATGATGTCATCAGTGAAGCAGAGGTGTTGTAGTTGCCGACAATTTATCTTCACTCCCATTTCTTCCCATTCTAGTCGACGAATGACATTTTTGAGAGTGGCACTGAAGAATTTCGGTGAAATGGTATCACCCTGCCAAACCCCTCTCTTGACCTCGATGATCACTTCCTTGTAGATTGGTGAGATCCTGGTAGTCAATCATTAATACAGCTCGAGGAGGATTCGGATGTACTGAATTTAAATGCCCTGTTTGGCTAGGGCTTCGATGACCGCTTCAGTCTCAGTAGAATCAAAGGTCTTCTTTAAATTGATGAACGTTAGACAGAGCAGCATCTTGAAGTCTCGTGAAATATCAATCAGTATGGTCACTTGTGGATATGATCGATACTGCTGAATCAGGACTTCTTATACAATTCTATGAAATAAGTTTCTGTTTCATACATTTGAATTGAAATGTGAACAACAGTCAAAGGCATCTGTTTTTACTATTGGAGAAGATTTCATGCAAGTAAATATCCCTTTTCCACTTTTTTTTTTAGGTTCTATTTGGCTGTGTTCATTGTCACATGACACAGCCCCCAGAGAACTGTGCAGTGCTGAAATTGAATCTGGGCCTCCAATAAGCATTCACTTAGTTCTTTGAAGAGTCTCTGCACTGTATCATTGTAGCACTGTCTTTCCATTTTCATTGATTTGCTCGAGTGGGCCCAGTAATATCTCCATCATGAGACTTGTTTTACTGTGTTTGGTATATCGAATATGTCATGGGTAGCTTACCAGGCTTTGCTGTGCAGGCAACATACTCTAAGTAGCTTGCCAGGCTCACAGAGAGTGGCAGAGGAATCGAACTCAGCTTGGCCGGGTTGGCTGCGTGCAAGGCAACTATTGCTCTATCTGCCTGTTGTCTGTTGTCTACAAATTATTCACTCAAGTCATCCTGAATAGGATTGGAAGAACACTAGATTAAGGACAACCGTGCAAGCAAGTCGGGTTCCAAAAAGGATTCAGCATAATCGTCCATATCCACATGATAACCAAGTTCATTGAGGTTTCTCAGAATTTCAAGATGAAGCTCTGTCTAATGTTCATTGATCTAAAGAAGGCTTTGATTCTGTTGACTGAAGTGTCATCGAAGCCCTAGGCAAACAGGGCATTCAAACTCAATACATCAGGATCCTCTGTGAGCTGTGTTGCGGATTCACTACCAGGATCTCACCATTCTACAGAGAGATGATCATTGACTCATGAGAGGGGTTCGGCAGGGTGATACCATTTCACCAAAACTCTTCAGTGTCACACTCGAGAACGTCAGGCGACAACTGGAATGGGAAGGAATGGGATTGAAGATAGACAGTCAGCAGCTACACCGCCTCCACTTCGCTGATGACATCATTCTAGTAACACCAAACATCAGCCAAGCTGTACAAATTCTGGCGACTTCAACTGTGAGTGTGGAAAGGTTGGAATACAGCTAAATCTCACGAAGACAATGTTTATGAGAAATGGTCTCATTCCTGACGTTCCATTCACTCTCAACGGGATGGACATTTCCGGAGGCAACAGTTACATGTACCTAGGTCAAAATTCAACATGACAAATGACCTGGCACCTGAGTTGCGCAGGAGGAAGAGAGCATCTTGTAACGCCTATCAGAACGTTGAAGAAATAACTAAGAGGAGGAAGAACCTCCAGCTCCGGGCCCATCTCTTCAATTCCACTGTTCTTCCTGCATTAACATACGTCTCAGAGACCTGGGTCCTATGTAAACAGGATGAGAATGCTATTCGAGTCTCCCAAAGAGGAATCAAAAGAGCTATGCTTGAGGTATCATGCTTCACTTGAATGAGAGAAAGAATCTGGACTTCCAACCTCTATCAATGGTCAAAAATCAGGGATACTCTCTTGTTTGCCAAGGCGTCAAGAATTAGATGCGCTGGACACATAATGTAATTTGGCGACAGCCGCTGACTAGAGCCATTACTGACTGGATTCCATGGGATATCAAAAGATCGCGTGGCTGCCCACCTATGAGATGGTCAGACTTCTTTGAAAGACCTTGGCTGAACGGTTTGAGGCTGCTCATGGTCCTAGAATGAGTAGACAGCATTGGGCTACACTAGCAACTGACAGGGACAAATGGAGACATTACTGGTGCCCACATGAACAAATCGATGAGTAATGGCATTTCAACTGATCAAGTGATTAAGTGACGTATGCTCACATTTCAACTCAAATGTGTGACACTGAAGCTTAGTTTAAGTAATTGTATAAGAAACTTCGAAGCTAATATTATTTAGATTTATCTTGGCTTATGGCTTTCAATTTAAGTTTGGCAATGTAATTAAAAATACCCTTTAACCCATCGAGAGAGACTGGAAGTGGAGTGTGGGTACTGGGGATGGTGGGAGGGAAACTGGGGACATTGGTGGTGGGAAATGTACTCTGGTGGAGGAATGGGTGCTGGATCATTGTATGACTGAAAACCAAAACCCAATTATAAACAGCTTTGTAATGGTCTATTTCATCAACAGTCAGTTAACAGAATTAAAATAAAACCAAAAAGTAATATATCGTTCATGCCTGCTTCAATCAGCTTAGTCAGTGGCTGAATAAATTGCAGTAGACCTACAATAAAGCAATGTGTATAGGGGGTGGAGTGATAGCACAGCAGGAAGGGTGTTTGCCTTGCACACGGCCGACTCAGGTTTGATTCCCAGCATCCCATACGGTCCAGCACCATCAGAAGTAATTCCTGAGTACATGAGCCAGGAGTAACTCCTGTGCATCACTGGGTGTGACCCAAAAAGAAAAAACAAAACTATCCTTTAAGTATTATCTACCAGATAAGAGCTTTCCAGTGTTCTTAGGACAAGCTTTCCCCAGGCAGTGATGTGTCCCTAAAGGAGCTCTGAGGAGAAGGTGAGAGAGCAGAAGGCAAAGGCCCGAATGTGACTACAGCAGGAACAGGTTTATGGTACTGAGCACAGGGTTTGCTCTTGGTGGACTGGGTGAGGTTTTCAAATAAGAAAATTCAAGGGTGTTTCCAACGACTTTCACACGTGCTGATAGAAAGTTAAATAAATGGTGTCTCAATCAGAGAGCTGTGGACACTTATAATGTCATTTTAAATATTATTTTTTTATTTATTGTTTAAAATTTGGGGCTGAAGCAATAAAACAGCAGATAGGGCGTTTGCATTCCATGCAGCCAACATAACCTACCCGAGTTCAATTCCTCCGCCCCTCTTGGAGAGCCCAGCAAGCTACCGAGAGTATCTCACCCGCAACTCAAAACCTGGCAAGCTCCCAGTGATGTATTCGATATGACAAAAAAAGTAACAGCAAGTATCACAATTTGTTGTGAGATGTTACTGGTACCTGCTTGAGCAAATCGATGAACAACGAGAGGACAGTGCTATAGTGCTACAGTTTAAAATTTTATTAGGGCACAGCAATTTAACATGTTTCTCATAGTAGAATATGTGACCCAAACTGTTCTGGCACCAGTGCCACCCCCAGTGTCATTGGCGAAAATTTTTGAAATCTCAATGCAGCACTGAAGACTCTGGAAAGGACAAATTGTGGACCCACTTACACTCCCATGTGGAGAGACTGAAACTGCAGCGCAGCCTGGAACTTCAGTGTATTTTGGTATTTAATTAATTTTATAAGGCTGGAGCAATAACACAGCGGGTAGGGCGCTTGCCTTGCTAGCAGCCGACCTGGGCCGACGTTGGTTTGATTCCTCCGCCCCTCTTGGAGAGCCCGGCAAGCTACCGAGAGTTTCATGCCCTCATGCAAAGCCTGGCAAGCTAACCATGACATATTTGATATGCCAAAAACAGTAACAAGTCTCACAATGGAGATATTACTGGTGCCTGCTCAAGGAAATCACTGAACAATAGGAGGATTGTGCTATACAGGGCTATAATTAGTTTGGTTGTGCCACACCCTACACTGAACATGGCATTCTGTTGACTCGGTGCCACACCTGGCAAACACCTTAGAGCCTCCATTATCTCTCTTACCCCAACAGCACTTTCCTTCTAATTCATAAACATTCTCTACTTTTTCTCAATGAGAATGGGATAGGGAACATAAAGACAGTTAAGGAAGGGCTTGCTTCCTGTGAACGCTACTTCCCTAAACACGGAGCTTCTAGTGACAGGTTAGAGCTCTGGGGAATCCCATCACTGCTCTGAAAATCCCTTCTATCCAGCCCCACCCGACCTCCCATCAGTCATTCCTGGGTGGGTCTCTCCAGACCCACCTTATGATGCATATAAACACGGTGCTGAGTGCAGGGCACACAATGCGCTAGTGCCAGCCTGAGTCTGCATCCTTCAAGGGAAGTAGCTCACCAGCAGGACCAAGCACTGCACCAGCCAGAGTCAGGATCAAGGTGAGTTAGCGATCAATCTGGGGTTTGTGGTAACTGGAGGCAGGAATAAGGGACAAGAAATCAATCAGGGAATTTGTGGTTCTTGTGGGGTCAGAGCATTATTTCTACAGCTTCCTTAGTGCCTACTGTGTGCAGGGTCTAGAGGGGCTCCGTTTGACCATCTGATCTCTATTTTCTTTATACTATACCCCAGAGTTGAGTGACCATTCCTCTGAAGTAAAAGGGGCCATTTTCTCATCACAGAAAGTGGTGATCACTTGAAACAGGGGATTCTAATAGATGAAGCCCCGGAGGTTGGTGGGCTTATTGGTGAAAACAGTTTGGAGGGCCTTGAGTCCAGATGGGAACTATGTTTTCACAGAGATAAATCACAGAGAAAACCATATTAAATTTCGAACAGAGGCTGAGTTTGTGATTTTTTTTAATTTTTTATTTTCTGGCAGGAGAAAACCTGAGGAGTTCGAACTTGTGAGCAAAAACGTCCTTGTCCTGCCCTTTCCACACCTAAGGATGGAGGAGGTGTCAGCAGCCCTGGCCAAAATGCATCCAGAACTCGTCTGTCTCGTCTGCCTGGACTACCTCAATGACCCTGTCACCATCGACTGCGGCCACAACTTCTGTGACTCCTGTATCCGCATGTCATGGAAGGACCTGCAGAACACATTCCCCTGTCCTGTGTGCCGGCAGGCCCGCCAGGAGATGCTTGTCAGTGCCAACGCCCAGCTGGGCAGGCTGGTGGACCTGGCCAAGCTCCTGCACAGATCTGAGAGCAACGAGATGGCGCGGGCAGAGGAGCGCTGGTGTGAGGAGCACAGACAGGGAGTGAGTCTCTTCTGCGAGGATGACCAGGAGCTGGTATGTCCTCTGTGTGCCCAGGGCTCTGCCCACCAGGGCCACCACGTCAGGTCGGTGGCCGAGGCAGCGGCTCATCACAGACAGAGGCTTGGTGACTATATCGAGTCCCTGAAGAAGCAGCTGGTAGAGGTGCAGAAGCAAGAAGTCGCCCAAGATAGAAACCTCCTGCAGCTGAGAGCAGACGTGGAAAAGCACAGGAGTCAGCTGGCCTCGGAATTTGAGCAGCTCACCCAGTTTGTGGAGCGTGAGCAGGAGGCGGCGCTCTACAGGCTGGCAGAAGAGGACAAACACCTGCAGCAGCAGCTCAGGGTCAACCTGGAGGCCTACTCGGACAACATCTCGGAGCTGAAGGACCTCAGACGGGTGGTGGCGGAGCGAAGCGTGATGTCGGAGGAGATGGTGCTGAGGGGGGTGAGGGACCTACAGCAGCGCTGGGCGGGACTGCATCCCCCGGCCGTGCAGCTCCTGCGCTTCAGGCCAGTGACCTACAGCCTCCCTCCTCTGTGCTCAGCACTCAGCGGCATCATCCAGAGATTCCGAGAGAGGATCAGCCTGGACCCCGACACGGCCCACCCCAGCCTGCACGTGTCCCAGGACCTCCAGTCGGTGACCTGCGTGAGGAAGAGGTCCAAAGGGGATGGGGACCCCGTGCCCTGGGATGACTACACCCCGCTGGTTGTCCTGGGCCGGGAGGGCTTCACCTCTGGCCGCCACTACTGGGAGGTGCAGGTGGGCGCCAAGCCCGAGTGGGCTGTGGGCGTGTGCAGCGTCGCCCCTTTGGCCCAGACCTCACGGCCCCTGGTGGCTCCCAAAAGATGCTGGACGCTGCAGCTGCAGGACGGCGACTACCTGGCCGTGGGCTCGGGGACCGTGCCTCTGGCTTTCAGGGACCAGCCTGCTACCATCGGCCTTTACCTGGACTGGGAGCTGGGCCAGCTTTCCTTCTACAATGCGGCCAACAGGTCTCACCTGTACTCGTTCACAGAGCCCTTTGCTCAAGAGCTCAAGCCATACTTTCGCGTGGGGCCTGACTGCACCCCTCTCTCCGTGAGGGCGGGGAGGGCTGGGGAAGGGTGAGCACAGCCTGGGTTTCCCCCCTGCCTCATGTGGACTACGGGTTATCTGATATTTATGAGACTGGTTGCATAAGTCTTCAATTTTGGGGCAGCTTAGGGAGATGATCTCTTCTTGTAACTCTTTGTAATATATCTCTGATTATTTTGCACCTATATGCCTGTGTCTAATAAAATACACTTTTACTGCAAAGAAAAGTCTTGCTTCCTTGCAGCAGAAATATGTTTTAAAAGGCATTACACAGTTCTCACGGGCTGGAGCGATAGCACAGCGGTAGGGCTTTTGCCTTGCATGCAGCCAACATGGCCGACCCGAGTTCGATTCCTCCGCCCCTCTCGGAGAGCCCGGCAAGCTACCGAGAGTATCTCACCCGCACGGCAGAGCCTGGCAAGCTCCCCGTGACGTATTCAATATGCCAAACACAGTAACAACAAAGTCTCCAATGGAGACGTTACTGGGCCCGCTCAAGCAAATCGATGATCAACGGGAGGGCCTTTTACTTTTACACAGGTCTCATATCCATTCCTGCTTATTACTTTATATCTACAGTGTATTTTATTAGCGGTATGCACATTTGACAAATTTCCCTCAATTATATAAAACCTAGGAGTAGTGATCTCCATGCCTGGAACAAGGAATATCCTCTAAGCCCTACTGAGTATCAGGTTTAAATACTAAAATAAGTATATAAAAAAGTTAAAAACAGTTCTGGATTTAGTTTTGATATATTTTCTGTATTTACAAAGAGAATTTGGACTAAAATATCACATGCCATGATAATTACACCACTCACTAATGAGTGGTGCAATTACACCACTCATTAATGATTGGTCAAAGACCTTTCTGTGTAAACATTCCTCATTCTGTTGACATGTATGTCATAAGCAGGCTTAAAGCGCTCATTAGAATCTTTCTAATATTCTTAAATATTCTATTTATTAATTGTTTTCAAATTTAATTCAAAAAAACAAATATGCTAATTTAACTTCAACGCATGAAAAATATGTCCTTCATTTTGTATTTTTTAATCACTCTTTTCATTTTCTTTCAGTAAGAATAGTATTTGGTGGGCTCACTTGGTATGAGTTCCTCAAAAGGAATACAACGAAGATGGGATTGAAGAATATACTATCAGGATCACGATCACGATCATCCTGTTGTTCGTTGATTTTCTCAAGCAAGCACCAGTAACGTCTAATTCTTCTTAGCCCTGAGATTTTTAAAAGAGCCGTTTCAATGCTCTTTCAGGATTAGAAGAATGAGCCCCATCATTGTTACTGGTATTTGGCATATTGAGTATGACCCGGGAAGTTTGCCAGACTCTGCCGTGCGGGCAGGATACTTTTGGTAACCTGCCACGTTCTCCAAAGGAAAAAATAAGATGCCGCGAATGAGGCCGCACACTTCTGGGAGCTGGGTTTTATAGTCTCTGCGTCTTGGCCATTGATGGGACCAATCTGGCGCTGGCAGCAGCTGGTGGGTGTGACGCCTACTTACTGGAAGATGAGGGGGGTCTGGGTGGAGAAGGCCCAGTCCCAATCCGAGTAGGCTTGGAGACCTCAGCCCCAGGACCCGCATGCCTGGGTTCCTCTGCCAGTTCTTTCATGAATGAGGCCCATCCGGACGAGTAGAGAGTGGTCCCAGCATGGCCGTGGCTGGCTCCGGAGGTCCTCAGCTGCTGGGGCTCTGCTCGGGGTGGGGGGTGGAGAGAAACTCAACCCTCCCCCGTCGAAGGGGCCCCAGTGAGGACAGCAAGGCACGGGGACAGGAGACTGCGCTGTTCTCCTCCGGGAGCTGGGTTTTATAGTCTCTGCGTCTTGACCGTTGATGGGACCAACCTGGTGCTGGGGGCAGCTGGTGGGTGTGATGACTACCTACTGGAAGATGGAGGGAGGGGTCTGGGTGGAGAAGGCCCAGTCTCAATCCGAGTAAGCTTGGAGACTTCAGCCCCGGGGACCCGCATGCCTGGGTTCCTCTGCCAGTTCTTTCATGCTTGAGGCCCGTCTAGACATGTGGAGAGTGGTCCAAGCATAGCTGTGACTGACTCCGGAGGTCCTCAGCTGCTGGGGCTCTGCTCAGGGTTGGGGGGGGGGGGAGAGAGAAACTCAACCCTCGAAAGGAATACAACTAGGGTGGGATTGAAGAATTTACTATCATTAGCTCTAAAATAGGAAGACTCAATATGGTCAGGGTTGGAGCAATAAGTTGGAGCAACAAGTAGGGCATTTACCTTGCATGAGAGCTGGGTTTGATTCCCAGCATTACATATGGTCTCCGAAGCACTGCCAGGAATGATGACTGTGCATCACCAGATGTGACCAAAAAAGGAAAAAAAAGAAAACTCTTAATACTCAATATGGTCAGACCCAACTTTGCAGGCAACCAACCCAGATTCGATTTCCAACAACTCATATGGTCCCCTGAGCACTGCCAGGAGTAATTCCTCAGTACAAAAACCAGGAGTAAACCCTGTGCATTGTCCTGGTGTGACCCAAAAAGGAAAAAAAAAAGTCTCAGGCTCTTTTTGACAATACCATAGCAGTGAACAGACTTTTAGCCAGGTAGAAAAGTTGTCTGTAGGCAGATTAGGAGAAAACCTATAAAGTTACTCTAAAATTATTGTGAAGGCAAGTACTTTCCTCCCCTGAATCTCTAACTGTGGTATTGCTCTCAGCTCTCATCTTGGAGAAGTCTATGCTCTCTCTGAACATGTTATTCTCTTTCTTTCACTTCTAGTAATCTCTAAATACAACTATTATACAACCTAAATATAGTGATTTGGGGGAAATGATATAAACATAAATTGAAAGTGGTTTAAGAAACTATATCAATTAAAGCTTGTTGTTCCTAGCTTAGTCCTGGATTCTGTTCTTTGGGATCCTTACTGACAATCCCTGTCATCATTTAAAGTGATAGGGTTCAAACCCAGGTTCTGTGTAAACATAGTGCTTTACCCACTATTCTTTCTTTCCAGCTCTTAAAGAATTTCTTGATGCTAGCCTGGAGTCTATGGAATTAACAATTTATAAATCCAGCCATGCTTGTCTCCATTTACCTATTCCTCATATTGTGAGGTAGAGAAAGAACCTCATTAGCACCGTGACAGGCTGCATTTCAACAAATGAGCAGTAGGCCTAAGTTTCTGTCCCCGCTGTCCCCGCAACACACCAAAGAATTTCCTGAAACTGTCCTTGGCCAAAGCTAGAAATCCCTAGGCACCTTTTGACAGTCCTGTGAGAAGTAGGATATCTCTGGGCACAGCAGATGGGCATACCAATTAGCTCACAGACTTGTGACAGTTTCCTCAAATTTTGGGAAAACTGCCACCTTTGCTTCTATAACCATAAGCGATAAAGTGTCTTCTGGAACTTTCTGTGGAACAGACTTGCACGCTGCTGACCCGGGTTTGATTCCCAGCATCCCATATGGTCCCCCAAGCACCGCCAGTAGTAATTCCTGAGTGCAGAGCCAGGAGTAACCCCTGTGCATCACGGGGTGTGACCCAAAAAGAAAAAAAAAAAAGGAAAGAATTGTCCAGGTGGGTCAGATTATCAATAAACTCTTTTGAGTTTATTAAAGCCCCAGTGAGGTGTTGGCAGCACCAACAATTCTCAGCCTGGTACTCAAAGGTCTTACTTAGTCCCAACTCACTTCAGCACCGCCCCCATTGACCAAAGAAGATAGAAAGGAAAGTGGCAGAATCTCATATGATGGCTAATGGTTCTCTTCTCAATCTTCACATAAGTCACTTTCAACAGTTCAAGTTAAAAATGGTGATATTAAATTAGAAAATATATGCAACAAATGATTGTACTTATTTTGGAAATTTGCATAGAAATGTATGGCATAAAGATATCAAATAAAGTACCTACATCTTCAATTAGAGTTTATTATACTGTGTTTAGTAATATAGATAAAGTTCTACAAAGGACCTTGAGTTGCTATTTTGATACAGAAAATGGATGTTAGCTAATGCTGAAATTTGAACCTTTTCTCTATTACAGAGGCACAAAGAACAAAATCACTAATTTTATTTTTTTTATTTAAAAAAACTAAATACTGTGGTTTACAAAATTATAATAAAATAGTTGTTTGGGGCATTTGGATTTCCAATACCCATCCATCCATCAATGTACATTTCTCAACACTAATGTCCCCAGTTTCCACCCCCAATATAGATCCCCCTTTATATTCATCAACATAAACGAAAGGTGATGTTTTGGGGAGCAGAGGTTGTTGACATTGGAGTGGGTTGAACCACATCTAGAGGTATCAGGGCTGGCTCCTAGCTTAGAGATAATATGTGGCAGTGCTCAGAAGACCATATAGGATTATATGCAAGGCAAATACTCTTCCCACTGTGTGATTAGTCTGGTCCCAAACTTTCATGACTCCTTGTAGATCTTAATATTCTGGAGTTAAATATGATGGAAACTAATCCCACCAGTATGACACTGTGTGGGACAGGGTATGGGTATTTTATTTTCTATAAGCTCTGATAACAAAATCTTTGTTATGATAAACATAAGCAACTGTGCAGTGTTAGCAAAGATATTTTATAGGTATCACAAATCAAATCACAAATCATCCTGTTAATCGTCGATTGCCTCGAGCAGGCCCCAGTAACATCTCCTTTATCCTAGCCCTGAGATTATATTCAAGGCTCTTTAGGAGAATGAGACCCATCATTGTTACTGGTATTTGGCATATTGGGTACGACACAGGGAGTTTGCCAGACTCTGCCGTGTGGGCAGGCTACATTTGGTAGCCTGCCAGTTTGTCCAAAGTAGGAATGTGATAATAAGATGTCATAATAGGATGCCATAATAGGATGCATTCACGGTCACGCGGTTCCGGGAGCTGGTTTTTATAGTCTCTGAGTCTTGGCCGTTGATGGGATTACACGGCGCCAGGGGGCCAGTTGGTGGGTGTGACCCCCGCCTACTGGAATTTGGAGGATCTGGGTGGAGGATGCTCGGCCCAAATCCGAGTAGGCTTGGAGA